CTAATTTGTCACTTATTAAAATCTTTTTCTCTTTTTAATTCGCTCTTTCTTAAGATTCAAATGATATCAATTTCGATCAAAATTTAGTTAATATATATCTTCTTACTCATATTGATAAATACATGAGTAAAATTATAATTTATAATACTTTTCATGTATAAGCTTAGAGAAAGACACTATTAGTTGACTTAATTTTGGTCATAGGATAATAACTAAGAAAAAGAGTTTTAAATACTTATAATTAAATAAAGGAAAACTATTATTTCAAAATTTTAATCTTTTAATCAAAAGAAATTGTAGTAAATACCTTTTAAGTTTTAACTGTCTAATTGAAGATGAGCGATTCCATTGTAGTGGGTACTTATATTTCTTTTTTCCCTTTATATGTTTAGTTTCATTCATTTTTTATTGTTTTATTCTTAATGAAGGAATTTTTTGGAAAACAAATATATCATATATCTGATGAAAGAAACAAACCTACTACTATTAGAATCACATACACAAATACTGTATTTAAAAATGAAAATATTTTTATATATTTTCATTTTTTGAAGAAGATATAATAATAAAAAGAATACCATTCATCTAACTCTAATTTTAATAACAAAATTATATAAGAAAGATTTCATGAATATTTTTTAACTATGTTTTATGCATAGACATGAAAAGTTTTATCATATTTGTTTGACAAAATTTGTACTTCAGAAATATTTTCTAAATTGATAAATTTACCGCGATATGTTTCCTAGTTAGTAATAAAGAAGTAATAATTCTTTACCCAAACACCATGATCATAGAGAAAAAGGGGGCAAATTATGCTAAGTAGCCACTCGGCTTTTTATTTTACTAAAAAATTGTCCCAGTTTCAAACTTACCAAAATTGGCCAAATACGTTGTTAAATTGGCATTAATGGCTGCTCTGCGTCCGCTTCTTCTTTCTTTCAATTTCGCCATTAATGATTGCTCTTCTTCTTCTTCCTTTAAATTTTGCCATTAATGGTTGTTGCTGCTGCTTCTTCTTCCTTTCAATTTTGCCATTAATGATTGTTGCTATTGCTTCTTCTTCCTTTCAATTTCACCATTAATGGCTGCAGCTTCTTCTTCATTTCAATTTCGACATTAATGGTTGTTGTTGTTGCTTTTCTTCCTTTCAATTTCGCCATTAATGGTTGCTGCTTCTTCTTCTTCGTCTTCTTTTTAAAAAATAAAATTCGCCCTATCGAAAACTTGAATCGTTTTGAGGGAATTATATATCAATAACTCGAAACATCTAGAAGATTAATATCTAAATTTTAGGACCGTTTAAAGGTGATTGTAAGTTGATCAAGATTGAATTCGTCAGTGTATATTTCATGTATAATTAATATATATTCAGCTTTTTGAGTGTATCATAATGTATAGTTTATGAATAAATAAGTTATATTGTATAGTCCGTGTATATTTTTTTTATAACTTTGACAAATTAAGTATATTGTATAGTAGTATATATTTTCCATGACTTTTGGCTAGTTTTTATATAAATAAAGCATGACTAGATTTATTATAAATTAATTACTTTATTATATATATTTGAAACTAATAAAAAAAATAAAAAAATCATAACTTTACTTCTCGTATTGAATTATCGATTATAACTCATTAATGAAAGAAGAACTTTCACATATTGCCACTCAAAAATAGCTTAATTACTTTTCATAGCTATAGTTTGATAATTACAATTTGTAGCTACATGTTATAGGGAGGAGAGAGGCGAGCGAGACTGGGAGAGAGAGGAGAGAGGCGAGTGAGAGAGGGTAAATAGTGGGAGAAAGGTGAATTGTATATGTATATCGGTTAGATAATTGTATATTATACATATGTATTTTGATATATGGCAAGCGAGATTGGAAGAGGAAGGAGAGAGGCGAGCGAGATTGGGAGAGGGAGGAGAGAGGCGAGCGAGAGAGGGCAAAGAGTGGGAGAGAGGTGAATTGTATATGTATATCGATTAGATAATTGTATATTATACGTATGCATTTGTATAATGGACAAGCGAGATTGGGAGAGGGAGGAGAGAGGCGAGCGATAGAGGACAATAATTTGTATAATTCGCAGGTACGTTTGTATAATTCACGTGTTTTTGTATAATCAAGTAATATAAAGTCTGAAATTATACAAATATAATAAAACTCGAAATAACGAATTGATACAAACGTAAACATATGAACTTTAAACAATTATACAAAATATATTATACAAATTACATTATATAAATTATATTATACAAAATCAAAAAACTGCACGTTTATACAAACTTGAAAAAGTTATACACAAAAAGATTGATTCTATATGATGACAAAACTGAAAACCAAAAGAAACCATCGTCATATACAAAAACAAACCATCGTATACTAATATAAATCAAACAAAGAATTTTTAGTTGCGAATTATACAAATGTGACGAATTATACATATACAAACATGACTAATTATACAAACTCGAAATCAGTCCACATAATAAATGGTTAATGTTAGTCGCAAGTGATAATTATAGCAAACTATAGCTATAATGAGTAATTAAATAGTATAAATTTGCTTAACCGCGCAATTTTTCCCCTTATTGGAAGTAACCAAATTGAGATCCAAACCACTAATCCAATAATGATAGGACACGGAATCCTTATAAGATCGACAAATCAATAATAGAACTATTAACCCAATAATAAATTATTGGACTTCGTTGAAGACTTATTTAAAGTCGATAAATATTGTAATCTCTCAGCAGAGAGAAGTTCATTCCCTTTTGTACTGTGTTAGCATTGTCCAACTTAGATGATTTGATTTCCTCCGGAAGTAAACCATCTTTTTCATATTAGGAAACAAACTCAAGATTTAAAGTGCTATATAAGTTTTGTATTATTTACTAAAAATTTCTACCCTTTTCTTGATAATACGTAACAACATTATATAAGATTCACTTAGAAGAACTTATAATTTTTGACTTATTTTTGCTTTTAAAAACAAGTGTCTAAAAGTAGTTTTTTTTTTTTTTTTCTCAAACTCTACAAAAATATTCAAAAACTATTTTGACTTTAAAATACTTAAAATAAGACAATTCAAACAGGCTCATAGTAATATGTTGTCTTTGTTTATAGTTCTCCTTTTTGTAACCCTCCAGAAATTAAAATTGTCTTAATAGTACAAAGGCAGCAAATTAGAAGTATGTTGTGACAGAACCAGGTTCCCCATTTCTTTTATACAAGAAATACAAAAAAATATTCCCATTGTTTCAGTTTAAGTGTCTTTTTTAAAAAAAAAATGGGTCTCAAAAATAGTACTTCCTCTGTTTTTTTATGTATGTCACCTTTTTAATTTGTATTTACATTAAGAAATTAAGTAACTTTACTCTTCTATCCTTATTTAATGTTTTCTTAAGTCAACTTTATAATAAATGATAAATATGTTAGATTTCAAAAATTAAAATGCATTTGGATGACTGTTTAAATCTTTTAGTTTATTTTTGGAGCCAATTTTTTTTACCAATTGATCCAAAAAATTTAAAAATGGGAAAAGGGTTAAAAATGCCCTCAACGTATTGAAAATAGGTCAAAAATGCCCTCCTTCCACCTATTGGATAAAAAATGCCCTTAAGATTATTTTTAAGGTTAAAAATGCCCTTCTTTAACAGAATTATAACATGACATAAATAAAATTTTAAATTGAACACGTGGCGTTAAAGTATTGGTCCACATGAATTTTTGACTCAACTCAATGGAATTGACCTACCCTTTTTAATATAACCCAGCTGATTTTCTGATTTTTTTTGTTCGAATCTATTTAATTTATTGAACGGATTTCACCACGGTTGCTTGGTTTGAGTGTCAGAGACTGAAATCTATTGAGAACATTGTTGTTGTGGTTTGGGTTTAATCCTGGATCCTTCCATAGAATTCTTGTTGCGTACCCACATATGGTTGATCAAGGAAACTGGACCTTCGTGGGGCGGTCGGACGGACCGTGGTCACCAATACCCTGGGTGGTTCCACTGCGGGGATTGTTACCATGTTCAGGCGAAGGTTACTGGTGGCACATTGGGATGCAATGGAGTTTTTGGTGGAAGTGAGCACTGCAGGTTCCTCAATAATAGGAAAAGGGAAGATGGAAGTCCAATCCAGTCATCGGTCGGATTCTTTGAGTTGGGTCAAAAATTTACGTGGACCAATACTTTAATGCCATGTGTTTAATTTAAAATTTCATTTATGCCATGTCAAAGTTCTGTTAAAGAAGGGCATTTTAACCTTAAAAATAACCTTAAGGGCATTTTTTATCCAATAGGTGAAAGGAGAGCATTTTTGACCCATTTTCAATACGTTGAGGGCATTTTTAACCCTTTTCCCCTTTAAAAATTAGATTTTTCCCACCTCAATTTTCCTATATATTTTGTGTAAAAATGCTTTAATTTGTTTGTTGATATTTCTTTTTTCAAAATCAGATTTTTTAGAATAGTGAATGAAAAAAGAAGTTAATGCATGATGCACTCCAATGAATATAGTAATTACTTACAGATTTCTTAGGTTGGTCAAAGTCTATATTTTCAAGATTAATTAAATATTTCATCAAAGGTATAATGGGAAGAAAGGGAACGGACGGAGTATCTCTTTCTATATTTAGTAAGTTTTCCAATTCCAACATCATACATGACAAATTTATAATATTAAAAAGACTATATACATCTTTAATTTAAGACTACAAAATTCAAAATCTCCTTTAATTTTTTAAATTCTATGTCAAATGAAAAGGCAACATATTTTTAGCCTAATATATAATTGAATTGAATGCAGTCCCAGCAAAAAAGGGAATCACAGTTTTCAAATGTGTAGTAATATCAGCATTTCAAAATACATGAATACTAACTGCCCATGAAATTCAGGCAACACACCCTTAAAGCTCTCCTCACATAACAATATAAATACTACTCTTTAGTTCTCCTTTTCACAATCACCAAATCCAAAAAAAAAACAATGGCGAAGCTGATCTATGCTTTGATCATTCTCTTGCTTGTTTTAGCAACACCAGCAATGGGCAAGCCTTCTTGTGAAACAGTTTCGAAAAGGCTAGCACCTTGTCTTTCGTACATTCAAGGGAGATATCATTCGATCAAGCCATCAGGCAGATGCTGCAGAGGACTGATAGATATAAGTAACATGATGAAAAATCGCGGGGATTATTCTACAGTTTGCAAGTGTATAAAGAAGGCACTTTTACACACGAATTATGATCCCAAACGTTTCCAAACTGGCTCACAACAATGTAACACAGGGTATACTCTGCCTCCTGTTGGCCATACCACTACTTGTTAGTGCACTTCAAGGGCCTCATCTATATGTATAAGTGATGACATTTGAAAAAAATGTGAATCTTTAATAAAAAGTTAGTTCTATGACAACCACAAATCCTAGTGGGATATTGTGTTTATTTTGCATCCCTTGTACAATTATTTATCAAAAACTGTAACTATTGCATAACTTGTGTAGCAAAACTGAAGCTTTTCACAAAATGTGAATAATATATGCCTGAAAATGGTAACGCCAATTCTAGAACTCGTCCAATTAGTCACAAATTTATCAACTCAGACTACTTGTAGTCTCGTATCGTACAGGTAATTAATCTGGGTGAATTTGTAGAGTAACTCAGAATTCCTTATACATGAATGAATTGAAAGAGGGACAGAAAGATCCAAGCCCAGATAGTTGTTTGAGTCCAGAGCCAAGAGGGCAAGAAAATTAGCCAAAAATTCAAAAAGGGTAACAAAATTGAATTGAGAACCAAAAGAGCAATATTTAGATGGCCTAACAAACGCCGTCTAAATTAGGAAAAAATGATCTAACAAACGCCGTCTAAATTAGGGAAAAAGGAGAAACGATGCACCGCAGCCTTACAAGGCGCACGGCTGCGCAGCCTTACAATGGAGGCCCTGCGCCTCTTTCCTTTTCTTTTTTTTTTAGTTTATGTTTTAATTTTTTGTTTTTTAGTTTAGTTTTTTTTTAAAAAAAGTTTTTCCTTTTAATTTTTTTCTTCTTTTGAAGTTGTTCCTTTTTATTTTGCACGTGATTTTTATATTTTTTTAGCAAATTATTCATTCCGATTTTTTAGGTAAGATTTTATTAATTCAAGTTTGAAAAATATCAAAATCTTGCTATTTATTTTAAAATCTTACTATAAAATATATATTTTATTTTTTCTTTTAATTTTTGTTTTTTATTTTGAATAATTTGCTAAAAGAATAAAAAAAATCACATGAAAAATAAATAGGAACAACTTCAAATCATGATTTTTATATTTTATTTTAGCAAATTATTCAAAATAAAAAACAAAATTAAATGGAAAAAAAAATAGGTGTCTCTGCTGCCTGCAGTTGTAAAAAAAAATTATTTTCTCCGTCTCATATTAGTTGTCATGTTTCGCATTTCAAAAGTCAATTTGACTAATTTTTGAAATCAAATTGAATTAGCTGAATTAAATATTTTACAATTAAAATAAAGATATTCAAAAACTATATGAAAATTGGAAAGTACTACAAATTGCAATTTATCTCATGCCAATTTTATGAAAGTTATAAATTTTAAAATATTGATTAAAATTTACATAACTCTTGAAAAATGAAACATAACAACTAATATGGGATGGAGAGAATAGTTATTACTATCTCAGTATCTCGTAATAAGTATGCTCCTAAACGAATTCCTCTTATTCACAAGAATATTTTTAGTAGACATTAAGCTGCGACAAAACTACCAAACTTGCCAAGTAAATTTCCTTCTCCTTTTTATTAATCACCTTATAATTACACACACTTAATTTTCTCTTTATATGGAATATAGTTGAGTTTGTTCAGATACAAATTGAAAGTTATTCCACGGCCAGTCTGCAATTCAGTATTAGTAATTAATTTTTTGGAATCAAGCTCAAGGAATTGTTCTTTAAGTCTGTTGTTAAGTCTGAAATATGGTTAAAACTCCATGTGTTCAGAACTTACATTGAATGTGGTTAATATAAATTTATTTCGATTTTATTTTTTGATAATAGTCAATTAAAAGGAGATATATTTTTTTCAATTTTTTGTTATAAATGAAATTAAATTGCCGTAGCCAACGTGAGTTGTGGTGCACTGGTGGGAGTGCTTCACCCTTAACCAGAGGTCTCGAGTTTGAGTCCTGGGTATGGAGAAAATCATGTTGGGAGCGCCGCCCCCGAATGGGCCCTGCAGTGTTCAATTCGAATTTAGTTGGGGCTCTAATGTGGATGAAAAACCATAAAAGAAAACAAATTAAATTGCCGGATGAGATTTAATAAAACAATTTCATATGATGGATATTGGTTCATACATTCGAAAAATTGGGATGATTATCGAGCCAAAGACTTGGGATTTTTATTCTTAAAGCATCTATTGAAAAAGATATTCATAATTATAATTACTTAATTAGAATTATATAGTACTCCTATAAATTATAATATTTGAATAAGGGCAATTCAGTCGAGCTGTTACTTTTTATATTATTAATAAATATGTTTAAAAATAAAATTAAAAAACGAATATCAAAATAACGGTAGCAAACCAGAGCAAAGACGGAGATCTCAAAAATCAAAATAAGGAAAGCAAATAGACCACGTAATATTATCACATTTGGTTAATAAATTAATCACTATATGAACAGCTAGCCAGGGTAATTTTGTTTTAATTTGTTCTAATCTTATATCGTGTGAAGAGGAAGTATCGTTCGAAATTTCCAATTGATAATCAACAATTCATGAAAATTGCATGTTATAACAGATAACTAATTAGGGGCTGAAAAATAGGGAATTATATGTCACTCATTTTCACAAGAATTGGACACACCTATATACCAAAAATAAATAAAAAATACAAATATTAGCTATGGCTCGTTTTCTTGTGTTTGTCTCTTTAGCCCTACTAATAATACTTAGTGTGTCAATCCAATATGTGTTGGGTGTTGGGTTTAGCAAGGTATGAATGGGAAATAGTGAATGGGAAATGAAAAGAGAAAATGGAAAGTGGAAGAACCAATGAAAATGGGGGAACCAATTTTGGAGGGAAAATGAAAAGTCATTGCAAAAGTGCAAATGAATAGTCATTTTTACCATATCGGTAGAAGAGAGGAAATTGTTGTCCTTATATTAGGAAACACTTCCTTTACTTCTTAAAGGGTTAAGAAGAAGGTGCCCCCTCGCGCCGTCGTCGTCGCTCGCTCGACCTCGGCCTCGGCTTCGGCTT